GCTGCAGTCTCGATCCATCAGCAGTGTCATGACTGCAGGATCCGCTTCAGGATGAACTAATTAAAATAAAAATAAATAAACCCAGTTCAGAGAGCTCAGAAGAGGGTTGGAACACAAGTGGGAGGAACAAAAAAAGGCAGTGACCAAAGAGCATCTACTATTTTTTGGTGTCTTCCCTAGGAGAAGCTTCTACACCAGGTTCTCTCGCTCAAACCAACGTGCCCCTCAGCTCCTCCAGAGGTGCTGGGCTTCAGCGTTGCCTCCATCTAATCAAAATAAAGTCTGCTCAACTTAGAATCAACCTACATGGATTAGAGCAATTCAAAGCAATAGGGTAAGCAGCCCACAGACTACGGAGGAAGAGTGAATTAATAGCTTCCTTCATTAAAGCTTACTTTCAAAAGAAGTCAGCAACAGAACTCATCATCACCGCTTGCTCGCAGACATTTATTTTTATATTCGCAAGAGGATGAGCGTAAAAGAAATTTATGTAGATGCTAAATCAAGGCTTTTGTTCCTAACCAGAAAGAAGTCACTCTCAGCATTTTAATTTTCTTAGAGCAGGACTGACGTCTCAGGCACTGCGCTCTTAACTCTTTTAAAAATTCGAATTATATAAGAGATTAAGGTAACAAACTCAGGTAACACTACCTGAGGAAACACCTCTTGGATCCCTCCACTCGGTTATCCCTTTCACAAGCCTCTTCACCCCACCCTGATCTCATTTGATCATGCCCGGCTTCCTGGTTGCTGCGCTCAACAAGGAGCCCAGGCCAAGACCCAGCAGCAGCAGGGTTGAGTCATCGAGTTCACCCACTATCAGAGACTATTTCATCCCTCCTGAAACCTTTCAGAGGACCTGCAGCTTCTACCTTCGCAAGACAAGCACACCAGGACAATTCCACATGGAACACTGAAAAAATGAGGCCGTTTTATTGATGATTAGACTCTGCACTGGCAACAATCATTAAGCTAATACAGACAGACTTCAATCAAAGCCTGAGCTTTGACTCAGAAGTCGTAAAGTGACATGATGCCTTAATAAATTAAGGATGTTGTTAATTCCTCTCCATCATCAACTCTTCTTCACTTGAAGTTCTTTGCAAAATCCTCTCCTTTCTTAATAGAAGCCTTCAGCTCAGCCATGGCATCAGCAACCATCTTCTCTTCAAAGGGAGTGATCTTGCCAATACCCAGGTTCTTCTCGATTCCATTTTTCTGAGGG